TTGTGTTACAGTGATGCGCGCGCATCTTAAAATTTCACTCTCATCATTTTTTCATAACGCGCCTAAAGAAGTATAACTTCAAAAATAGGTTGCTTTTGTAACAGGGGCCTTGGGCCCCAAAATGCGTTTTGGGTTACCGGTGCAAGAGTATTTTCTGTTTTGACTGGCTCTACTCAGGGTGTTAGGTAGGGCCCTCTTTTTACATTTCTCATGAAACGAGCAAGGAGGAGTCACAGATACCTTCTTATTTCTCTCCCCGGTGGTTGAAGCATCCTTCAGCCACAAGGGGCGTAAGGACATTCCCCAAACACAAAAAAAGGTGTCAAATGCGACTTAATACAAATGATATCATCATCAGCCTATTAGTGTCCCCACTGCTGGGGCTCAGGCCTTCCCTATGGATGGAATAGGGAGTTTTCGGCCATGACCCACCACGCGGGCCCAGTGCGGATTGGTGGGTGCTAACGACTGCAGATGCAGCCGGAACCAACGGTTTAAAGTGCCTTCCGAAGCACGGAGGAGCTCGAGATAGTAAATTTTCGATCGCCCATCCAATGACCGACCACTGCGAAAGTGGCTTAACTTCAACGATCGCAGCCGAACGCGCTAACCACCTGCGCCATCGAACTCCTCTAATAAAACAAAACAAATGACAACACAAAACATAGAGAGCACAAATAACAAAGAAAAATTCACCAAATAATAAAATGAAATAAGATTAAGATTTCATGCTTATCTTATTACTAGAGGTGCCCGCGACTTCATCTGCATTAACTTAGTTTCTTGAAAATCCTTTTGGAATCGTTAGGTTCATTTTTTCGGGATAAAAGTAGCCTATTTGTTAATCTAGGGTGCCAGCTAACTCCATACGAAATTTTATTAAAATCGCTTCAGCCGTTTAGACGTGAAGAAGTAACAAACATACACACTCACATACTCACACACTCACAAACTTTCGCCTTTATAATATAAGTGTGATTTAGATGACAATATACTGTATGCTTAATTATACAAACATTCTCACACCAAAATCAGGACAAGAGACCACACACCGCAGGTGTTTGTGGTCTACGATTGTGATATGTGTAGATTTGAGACAAAATAGAGGTTTCAAAAAGAAAACTGATCTTTTTGCCTTTTTATTTCTATCCTTTTAGTTTATTTCTATCTGTAAACCATCACACATGGCGTATCCTCTTGACTTTCATGTATTTAAAAGTGCCATACGCCCTATAGTAGCCATAGAGCATTTTATCTATACGAATATTATGAAGAGGAAAGATTTGTAACGAATGAACTCAAAAGCTACTAATTCCAATGAAACGAAGTATTTTGTGTTGGATAGTTCATTAATGAGGAGCTAATAAGGAGCTCGATGGCGCAAGTGGTTAGCGCGTTCGACCGCGATCGTTGAAGTTAAGCAACTTTCGCAGTGGTCGGTCATTGGATGGGTGACCAAAAATTCACTATCTCGAGCTCCTCCGTGCTTCGGAAGGCACGTTAAGCCGTTGGTCCCGGCTGCATCTGCAGTCATTAGCACCCACCAATCCGCACTGGGCCCGCGTGGTGGGTCATGGCCCAAACTCCCTATTCCATCTATAGGGAAGGCCTGTGCCCCAGCAGTGGGGATACTATAAGGCTGATGTTGATGATGATGATGAGTTCATTAATCCAGGACCAAAAGAATAGGGGAACATCAGTGGACAACATTGCAAAAACGGGTTTTAATATTAGTTTTTAGAACTAACGGAAGCAATATGCGTGCGCTCATAAACGGTTGAAGTAACGCAAAAATCACTATGACAAACTTTGTTCTCTAAATGTTCTATAAAAAGTCTGCGACAACGTTATGTCTATCTTTTAATCCAACTCATTTTTTGCTCTCAATTAAATGTGCGAGGAGCTCGATGGCGTAGGTGGTTAGCGTATTCGACCGCGATCGTTGAAGCTAAGCAACTTTCGCAGTGGTCGGTCATTGGATGGGTGACCAAAAATCTTCTATCTCGAGTTCCTCCGTGCTTCGGAAGGCACGTTAAGCCGTTGGTCTCGGCTGCATCTGCAGTCGTTAGCACCCGCTGATCCACGCTGTCATGGCCCAATCTCCTTATTCCATCCTTAGGGAAGGCCTGTGCCCCAGCAGTGGGGTGATGATGATGATGATGATGATGATGATGATGATGATGATGATGATGATGATGATGATGATGATGATGATGATGATGATGATGAAGTGAGCGTGTAACTCGAAAGAGCAGCTACTTAAAGATATTTGAATTCCAAACAGTAAAAAAGTATAAGTACACACTACAATTTTGTGTGTACGTGCCGCATAATTTTCGCACAATTCATAGTGGTATTTTTTACGCAGCCTCAAACCGGCAAAGCAGGAAGCATTTTATTCATCTCATTACTTTTCCACCTAATCTGGAGCTGGCCATAAAATTGATTACATTTTGAATTGCTAACATAAATTCTTAAAGGTAATTTTGCAATAGGAATGATGACAAATTGTTTTTTCTTCGTTTATCAGGTAGATTATCAAAAAGTATTGGACACGTATTTTTTCTTTTTTCACATAATATAAACATTGCAGAGATATATTGATTTGAAAAGTCGCATGACTTCACGTTTTGGTACAATTTGCACTTAAAAGTGACGTCGCAAGCCCCTCAAACTTTGACGCGCTATAACTTTGTCATTTTTTGGTTGATTGCCCGAAGAAAAAATACGTGTCCATTATTTTCTGATCATCTAACTGACGGACTAAATAGAATTTCGTTTACTGTACCCCGTCATCACCCCTATTGTCTTAGTATTAACATAAATTGATTACATACTTAAAGAGAAGGTTGTTCTGATCTTCATTGTTATTATCATTATCTGTAGTGCCATTCTGTGAAATTTTCATGCGCGGATCCGATGTGGAACCGCGCGGACTCATATAGAAATCGCGTGGATCCACATCGGATCCGCGAGTGAACATTTTACAGATTAGCACTGCTGTAGCCTTTGATCATTTTCTCTCTAAATAATCAAAGTCTGTGATTTAGTTTGTTACAATTAACAATTAGTAAAAGATCCCCCATTCACAGTTTGGTAAATTCTTACAACGAGATGTTTCATTCAATAGACATGATGGCAATTGGTCCAAGTACTTTTAAAAAGATGTTAATTGCCAAACTTAGAGCATAAAAAATATCATGTTTGATTTATGATAAATTATATTATAGTTTTCATTCATTTACCAAAATACTTGTGAACACCGTTAGATTTCTGAATTTAATCAAATTTAATTTGTTTCTTTGTTAATCAACATTTTTTAGTGATACTTAGAATATCACCACACTCAATGCTGTTTTTAATATGTTTTTTTTATATATAAGTGGTAAACGGTGCTGGTTTCAAAGTTATGTATCTAATCACCAATACTGAATTGTTATGTACTTACTTTGTAACTGTTTGTTTACCCAAATAAATAGAGAAAAAAAAAAAATTAGGCGCCCTATACAATCTGCTCCCTTTTTTCCGATCGCTAACTTTGAAGTTTGAAACTAAATAAAAAACTCTTTAATTATAATGTCGCAAGCTTGTTAATTCCGAAACAGAATCTCCTTCTTTTTCGTTTGAAGTCATTTAATAATGAGAACATCTAAGTGGTATTCATTTGATTAATAAATTCGTAAGATGTCTACAGATGTCTAATTAATTCTTTAGAAGAATATTACGCATGATAACTTCTACTTATATCACCGTGGATAAGTATAAGTGGATTCGCGTTACCGAGTGTGGCAAAAATCTTTATATATATAATTCTTTTGTGAGTGTGTATGTCACTGAACTTCTCTTAAACGACTGGACCGATTTTGATGAAATTTTTTGTGTGTGTTCAAGGGGATCTGAGAATGGTTTAGATTCACAATTTTGTCCGCTGGACAACCCCTATTTTTTTAGGGCGGTACGAAGTTCGCTGGGTCAGCTAGTATCTTATAATTATTGTAAAATATATAAAGAGGCGCAAGTGATTAGCGCGTTCGGCTGCGATCGTTGAAGTTAAGCAACTTTCGCAGTGGTCGGTCATCGGATGGGTGACCAAAAATCTTCTATCTCGAGTTCCTCCGTGCTTCGGAAGGCACGTTAGGCCGTTGGTCCCGGCTGCATCTGCATTCGTTAGCACCCGCCAATCCGCACTGGGCCCGCGTAGTGGGTCATAGCCCAAACTCTCTATTCCATCCATAGGGAAGGCCTGTGCCCCAGCAGTGGGGACATTAATAGGCTGATGATGATTGTAAAATAAATCTGTCGCATGTAACAATATCGTGTTTTTTTACAGTAAAATATTCATTACCACCAATACTGTATATATTTTAAAGTTAAATATTACAAAACATGCTACAAAATTATAGATCAGTTAAATGACAAATATAATAAAGCATTCCTTTGGCTGTTACTTTGAATGCTTTTGCTTTGAACTTTGTCATTTGGAGTTTGTAGGTACTTATTATATTGAAGGAAATTGTTAGGTATATGGCGATAGTAGGCGTATGACTATGCCGTGATTCTGACTCAGAGCAAATTATAACGATTTAAATAGCAGTAGCTGTTATAAAGTGAATATTTTATGTTTAATATAAGTATCACAGATGTTATTAAATAACAGCTTACTTTAAAACGAAATAAATATTTATTCAAAATGGCAAATAAAAGGAAAATTATTATAATATTTTACAATACAATTTGGAATAGTTTTGCGAATGAACGAATGGTAAGAATGACATTGAAACCAGATGGATGATTATGAATATGATTTTAAGCACTTAATAAAAATATGTGATTTTAGTACAGAAATTCAAACAAAAAAGTAACAATTATAATATTTGTTTCTTAGGTTTTCACGCACATCACTCATTAAATAAAACTAGTTTTTACGGGTTAATGCACGAAACTTTATTTATTTATTGACGTTTCGTAGCCTTTACAGGCTTTACAGATTCTGACGACGTAGCCTGTAAAGGCTACGAAACGTCAATAAATAAATAAAGTTTCGTGCTTTAACCCGTAAAAACTAGTTTTAAACAATTATAATGATTTTGCTAATCCATAGACATGCTTTAGTTCATTTATCAGGAAAAGTTAAGAAGCTACCACGCCAGACCACCACCGTGGCCTAACCCGGCTCCGTAGCCTAATCCAGCGCCGTAGCCATAACCAGCAGAGGCGAGCCCGTTGTAGCCACCGTAGGCCAAAGGCGATGCCTGGCTACTGTAGCTTTGGGCGTAGCCTCCGTAATTTGCTGCGGCTAATGGCGTAGCCAGGACGGGAGGAGCGTAGCCAGCGGAAACAGATGACGCGTGGGAGCCGATGTAAGATGGAGACGCGAAGCTTCTATATACAGGAGTGGAGGGATGAGTAGCCACGCCCTGCTTGCGTACAACAGCGTTGAATCCAGTATGAGGGTTGGCCTCGTAATCCACAATGCGTTTGGTCCCGTCGGATTCTAGTAGCGAGTATTGACCGACGACCTTGTTACCGACGCGTATTTCGCGCTGGTCTTTCACGTCGCCAGTATGAGGGTCGCGGACGCCGTACGAGAAGCTGGAGTAGTCCACGCTGGACGCATGTGCGATGGCAACAGCCAAGGCGAGAATTGCGACCTGGAAAAATAGTTTAGATGAGTAAAGCTGTTGGAGTGGGAGCAGTGCCTCGCGCCTGAGGGGGCCTCGCAACAAATTTTTACAAGTTGCCTATTTATTTTCGTTTCTTCTGGCCTGGCTTAGGTAGCCGACCCCGAACAATTCGGGGAAAAAGCTAAGCAGATGATAATGACCTCTATTATTTTCGAATACGTGCGTGATGGAAGCGAGTAGTACTTTACGGGTATTCAGAATCGTCTGTCTGGCAACACTATTTTTGTAATTAAATTTCTAATTTTTTTTTTGTCATCTGTTGATTATCAACGATAAAACTCGTTTACTTATATGTTATTTTATAATTTGGCTCAATTGATTTAACGGTATTTTACTGCGAAGTAAAATAGGCCTCGCGAACTTGATGTCGCCGACGTCCACATGTGGTCTAGCGCCGCCACTGAGTGGGAGGTAGGGACGCGAAAATGAAGTTTATATATTTATTTTTGTATGTACCATAACTGAAAATTAGTGTTCTCAGGCCCGTATTATAGAACGATTCTCAGTAATGAATCTAGTCTTGAGCATAGATAGAAAGGGAACTTTCTAACTGTATTCAAGTAAAGATCAACACTTAGTTTTCATTCTGTAATACGGGCCTAAATGAGACTAAAGGGCCCCATATACGGAAAGATTCGTCGTTGCGATCGATCTGAAGGAAATCGTTAAGATCAATACAGACAATTGGTACAGATCAATCGTACCGTATATGGGGCACTGACGATCGATCGATCGATATTTATGATTGCTTGGGTTTTTGTTGCGATCTCCGATATCGTCTGTAAGTAAATCGTTAACGATCTTGACATACACTGTCGATCCATCGTTTCGATCGGTCTGAAACGACGGAGCGTACAGATCAATCGTTCCGTATATGGGCCCCTTAAGGTCTCATTATCAAAAAAATTTGTGCAATAGACAGCATACGAATTGGAACCAAACTGTGAAAGAAAACAACTAGCAGGTTTTCACAAACAAAAGTCCACCCGCGTAAGCTAAATTAAAAAATTAAACATACCGAACATACAAAGAATTTTAAGTAATTAAATAAAATAAAAAAATAACTATAATTTCTATTTCTTCTTTCAAATATTTAATACTTGAAAAATTTGACATTGTGTGTTACCTACAATGCAAAGAGATGGTGCTGCCTTGCAGCTTAAGGCTAGGAAAATTTCGACGCGGCGAATAGGGCCGTGGTAGCATAATGGTCAGTGCATTCGCCCGGATTGCGAAGGGTGCGGGTTCGAGTCCCGTCCGCTGCCTGGTCCGCGTGGTTTTTTTTCTAGTAAACTTTTCTTTAGATTTAAAAATCTAGCAGTTAAATGCTTAAAAATAAATAAAAACATAATTACAATGTAGCCACTACCTAAGCACAACGAAAGGTAACTTGAAACATTACTGCGTAGCTTAAATGACTTGCTAATTTCAGGGATGTTTAGCCTACGTGTAACGTGATGTCTAGAACAATGCAAGTGTTAATTACACGAAATTAAGTTATGTATAAGTTTAGTATAATATAATACCTTTGCGAGCATTTTGTATTGTTGCTGCTTACACTGCAACTGTACCGTGAAATGTTCAAAATTCTCTTTATATACAAATTTTAATTCAGAATTTAACGCAATCTACATTTTTAAAGGAAACATAATTTTGTTTATGATCTGCGTGAACTTGCACTGGCACGGATACTCACTTCCTTTCTTAATTTATGACTGTATTTTTTTATTTAAAACACTTAAATTTTAAGTTATTAAAGTTAAACTAAGCAGAAATTTATATTTTATGTTGGACTGTTGGACATTATTTATTATTAGCTGTCTCGGCGAACTTCGCACCGACTAAAAGTAATAATCTATATATATATATAAAACTCAAAGGTGACTGAATGTCATAGTGATCAACGCACAGCTCAAACCACTGGACGGATCGGGCTGAAATTTGGCATGCAGGTAGATGTTATGACGTAGGCATCCGCTAAGAAAGGATTTTGATCAATTCTACCCCCAACGGGATAAAATAGGGAATGAAACTTTGTATGAAACTTTGTCAATTTTAAACCGATCGGGCTGAGACTTTGCATGCAGGTATAAGAAGAATCATAGATGAATGTCATTGTGTATAATACAAGCCTGAGAACAAAAACTGTAGTCTACACTCCAGCTCTACACCGAAGCGAAGCGAGGGCGAGCCGCTAGTTTGCAATAAAATAATATTGCGACTATAAATTGAGATGTAAGCTATCCTATTGTAGGAAGGCCAAAGGGGAAGATCTTCCTCCGAGCTGGGTGATGTTAGCTCGGGGGCCGCGGCCCAACTGATATTAGTCGGGCATCGTATATATGAAGAGTTAGCCTCCGAATTTCATTTGCGCGATGTAGGCTTCCATACTATTAAGATCGCAGTGCAGGCAACGCCATATCTTGAGGATGGTGAGTAATGATTTCCTCCATCCGTTGTATATATGTGGGGCATATAGATGTCGCCGCCACACTATCTTTCAGGTTGGATCAAATTGCACAAGGTGTGCAAATTTGATTAAAATCGGTTAATTAGTTTAGGATTCTATCACGGAAAAACAACGTGATGCGTAATTTAGTAAGATTTAGATTTAATAGTTTAGAGTAGGCGGATTTTAAAAACGCATTAGAAATATGAACGAAGGCTCATGTAAAATGCCAATCGACCAAGTTCTAATCTCTTAACTATTAGACAAGTCCGTCTGTCTGTGGTGCTGTTTCAGCGGCCAAACCGTAAGAGATAGATAAAGAGAATATTTAAGTTATAAGTTAAGAATAGTCTGATAAGACTACAAACCGGATTTGAGTAACGTAGCACTTCCGGTTTTCGAGAAATCATGAATTCCAAACGAAACAAAATCTCCGAAGTTCTCAATTAATTAAATACATTTTTTAAATCAGGTTTTGGTGAACATTTGGTTCACTCGTTTGCTAGTGTCTTCTAACTAACACAGATACCCTTTATATTTTACACAGCGAGGAAAAAATGGTTACGTCCTTAAATTATTTTTTGGTATATTTTATTTTATGAGCATTTGTTATTGCGTTTATAGGAGAAATTTCCATGTATTTATTTAATTAGGGATTGTAGATACAATTACATACATACATTACTTTATTAACTTTCAAAAGTGTGATTATTATTTAATGTGCGAGGAGCTCGATGGCGCAGGTGGTTAGCGCGTTCGACTGCGATCGTTGAAGTTAAGCAACTTTCGCAGTGGTCGGTCATTGGATGGGTGACCAAAAATCTTCTATCTCGAGTTCCGCCGTAATTCGGAATTCACGTTAAGCCGTTGGTCACGACTGCATCTGCAGTCGTTAGCACCCGCTAATCCGCGCTGTGCCCGCGTGGTGGGTCAACCCAATCTCCTTATTCCATCCTTAGGGAAGGCCTGTGCCCCAGCAGTGGGGACATAATAGGTTGATAATGATGATGGTGTGTGTGCAGTGTGTGAACATGCATTAGGGGGACCAAACCATTACATTAGATTTGATGAACCACAGATCCTTGCAGCTGAGCGGCGGTTCGTTTCTCGAATGATGCGCGAGGCTATTGAGATTAAAAAATATCCAAATTTCAATAGGGAAGATGGTTGGTATATACCACCAGCTTGGGAACCTATTATACAGGAGATAAAATCCCAACCCCGAGCACACACTGCAAGACCATCAGATACTATTAGTTCTTTTTGTTTGCATAATTTAACATAAGAAGGAGATAGAAAGCCTCTCTTGAGTTTGTTTCGCCGGTTCTTCTCAGAAAGGTCTCCCAATTTTGGAACCGGTGGTAGTTTACGGTAGTATAAATAAACTCAAAATTACAAAAAAGAATTTTAAATAAAATACTTTATTAAGTAAATTAAATAATAAATTCATACATAGACAATAAAACTTTAAAAATCGAACAATGAAATAACCGAACGCTCAATAAAAGTCTTTCGAAGGTAGCTCGACAAATTAAATAAAAGTTTTATTCTGACGACAAAGCCTGTAAAGGCTACGAAACGTCCAAATAAATAAATAAAGTTTCGTGCATTAACCCGTAAAAACTAGTTTTATTTAATGAGTGATGTGCGTGAAAACTTAAGAAACAAATAATGATGATGATGATGAAATGTGCGTGAAACTCGAAGGAATAGCTAGTTTATTGTTTACAGTCTAGGTTTTATCTACATTACTGTATTAACTTTCAAAATAGTGGTTTCATCAAAACATGCAGAAAAAGACTTACTTAAAAGTTATACATATTATAAAAAAGGCAATAGGGGTGATGACAGGGTACAGTAAACGAAATTCTATTTAGTCCGTCAGTTAGATGATCAAAAAATAATAGACACGTATTTTTTCTTTGGGCAATCAACCAAAAAATGACAAAGTTATAGCGCGTCAAAGATTGGGAGTAGGGGCTCGTGACGTCACTTTTAAGTGAAATTTGTACCAATACGTGACGTCATGCGACTTTTCAAATCAATATTTATCTCTGCAGTGTTTATATTATGTGAAAAAAGAAAAAATACGTGTCCAATATTTTTTGATAATCTACCTGATAAACGAAGAAAAAAAAATTGTCTACATCCCTATTTCTCTAAAAATGTAAGATAGGAGGTATTGGTACTTCGTTGTCGAAATGATTAATGATGTTACACAGCAATACAGCTAACGAAGTTGTAGGAAAGGCAACCACATGTAAAACTGGGAATACAACAAGCACCAATATGCGGTTACGGTATGGGATTTAGCTCATATTCAATCTAAAAAAACGACTGCATGCACTCCTGGAATGCCGGCAGATGTGAAAACTTGAATATTAACGTTGTACATTTTTGATATTTTGGAAAGGTTAGGTAATAATTTTGCACGAATAGCTTTACAATAGTTATTTATTGCGCTATCGTACACAAACATGACAATTTATATTACATTAAAAAAGTTTATCTCTCAGAAAAATCACGTTTAGGCGCACTTAGCGACATCTATTATAAAGAAATCAACTTACATGAATCACATTTAAGCGCATTCATTGCTAAATGAATAGTTAAATTAGTAACCGCTAATTGGCGAAATGAAATGAAATGAAATTTATTTGCACTAATTGTAGTTACAATGATGTTTTTAAATGATTAGGTCAGATCGCACAATTAGCCGTTTCCAACATGCAAAAATTAATTGAAATATAGATTTATAATTATGTTATGACTTTTTGAATTTATACTTCTTTAGCCGCGTTATGAAAAAATTATGAGAGTGAAATTTTAAGATGCGCGCGCATCACTGTAACACAAAAGTAACATAATGAAGTTAGCCGCGGGCGCGTTATGAAAAAATGATGAGAGTGAAATTTCGAGATGCGCGCGCATCACTGTAACACAATAGTAACACCATGAAGTTGGCCGCGGGCGCGTTATGAAAGGTACTTTGAACGATCCACGGAGCTCCATAAGATGATCGCGTTGTCAAAAACAATGTTGGCACGCTCGTCGCCTCTGATCACTGTTTTCATATTTATAATATTTATCCACATGTTTCTAGTTTCTATATAGACACAACGTGTTTTAGTTACTTACAAGTGCTAATTACATATGGACTAATAACTTAAATTCAGTAGTGATTTTAATTGAATATTTTGAATATTTATTTAATTTTTCAAATTAAAACTGAACTTAATTGACTGTGTTAACTATCCTTTTCCAGTCCTTTTATTATTTTATTGTAATTATTAATTATTTGCATGCAATTAAAAAATATTTTTAATGATGCTAAAGAAGTATAACTTCTCACGCGCGTACATAAGTTACACGCATCGCATTAGTCTATGTAAAATATTTATTTGCAAAATAAAAAGTCTAATACATTGATAAAATAAAATGTCAGAAGAAAATGACATAACGTCACGTCTCATCTTCAGTAGGTACAATATACGTTAATTTCATTTAAGTCAACAACTTCATTTTACGATTTGAATTGATTCACATAGCCTTAATAAATAATTTCATAATAATTTGTAATTAAAAACAAACAAAAAAAAATATAAATAACAGATACAATAATATGTCAAAAAAAAAAAAAATAAGTAGGCACTATACACGCATATTAATTTCTTATAAGGCAACAATTTCATTTTCATTATTTAAATTGACTCACATTTATTCACTAATAATTATTGTATTAAAATAAATAATAATTAAATATTATGACTCATAAAATATTCGCCAATACAATAAAAACATTTGTCGACGAGCCAGGCAAGTTAATTTTTTTTTTGATATGAGGCAAATGATTATAGATTTTTACACACATAAAGTATCAGTTTTTGGAGCAAATATTTTTGACTATTAGGCAACAACAGTTGATCAGGATATTTCGCATTAAATGAGCAATTTTCTTGTCGCTGTTTAAATAAATGTATATTGCTTTTAACAAAAATTCAAAGGACATCGACGAAATCGACCCTAGCATGCCCAAAAGAATGTTCTTCACTATTATTTTTTTTACTTATTAGCAATTAATCACAGTAAACGGACAAACTGTTTAAAAAAATAGAAAATAAAAGTTCTGTTACTAGATACTACAGTCTGTTCATCCAACTTGTCCTATTTGGTAAACAATCTTGGCACTCCTTTTTATTGAAAATACAGCATTAAAAATCAACTGATAACTGGATTCAATAGGTTTCAGTTTATAATAACGATTTATTTTAATAGTTTATTGGCTTCGTTAATATTTTATTATTAAATTGGTGATTTTGTTAAAAAGTTGTGCTAACATTGTTTACCTTTATAATTGCAATATAGGCGACCATAGGTATTTATCAACATAAAAATAGAACTAAGGTACCTTAGTTAATAATACTTATTACTCAGAATATCTATTCAGAATATATAAAGTATACATCTTTTACGATTAAGTATAATAATTATAACCTCAAAATCTAACACATTCTGTAGTAGGCCACGATTCCTCAAGTTGTCCGTATCTCAACAAATGCCTAATTAGAGTTTATGAATGATTCCGAACACAACTAGCATTTTCTCATTGCTGGGCATTCTAGGGCATTCAATGTATGGGGAACGAGCAATGTCCTTTCATATAAATAGATGCCGCAAAGAGTTAATAAGCCAAGTTTTTTAAAAAGAACTTTATATTGAAAACTTGCTTCACACAAATCTTATTGAAATTAAAAAATATACGTTGAATGATATCAATTTTTATAAGATCTAGAGACTTTATAGGATTCGGAGAAAATTTAATGCTACGGCTTCCGAACTTATAGTCATCGTTATTTTAATAAATCAATATTTAAAGAAAATATTACTAGAAAAAAATTCACGCGGGCCAGGCAGCAGACGGGACGCGAACCCGCACCCTACGCTATTAGGGCGAATGCAGTGACTATTATGCTACCGCGGCCCTATAGCAGCTACAGCAGCATCAAGCAGTTACATGCTTAACATTAAATATCAATTTTTGATGTGAAAACTTCTTTAGCGGCGTTGTACACTTTTATTTGTATGGGTAAAAAATGTTAAACTCGGGTCAGGTTAAACACGTGGGCTGATCGCATCATGACACACATTAGAATTGGAAAGATGGTTGACTTTCAATATATTGGACGAAATATAGTAATATTTTATTTTATCGTATTATAATAATAAGTCTCTATCTAGGACGTACACGTGGCAGGTTAATTGCGAAGAAAATGCATTTTTTTACAATAGATTTCGCTAGGTGCGCTTAAATGTGATTCATGTAAGTTGATTTCTTTATAATAGATGTCGCTAAGTGCGCCTAAACGTGATGCAAGTTGATTTTTCTGAGAGATAATTTTTTTTAATGTAATCTAAATTGTCATGTTTGTGTACGATAGCGCAATAAATAAATATTGTAAAGAAATTCGTGCAAAATTATTCCCTAACCATTCCAAAATATCAAAAATGCACAACGTTAATATTCAAGTTTTCACTTCTGCCGGCACTCCCGGAGTGCATACAACCCATCGTTTTATTTTAGATTGAATATGAGCTAAATCCCGTCATAAGAAACGGATATAGGTAGCTATAAAAATTGTTCAAGAAAACATTTTCAATGTTAAAATTAACTGGAACTATTAAATGAGTACAAAAAATTTCCATTATGATTTCCTTGCAAGCATCATTCTTAAGCAAGGTAATTAAGTATTCTTTAGCACATGTCTATTAATGAGAGTTAATCTCTTGAAACGAAAGTTGCAACATATCTTGTAACATTATTCCACTATTGCCCCCAAAAGTAGTGGCTTTGTATGAATATAAATATACCAAATTCTTTGGGGTTAAATCATTCTTTGGTGAGATCAGAAGTCAGCTACAAGCAACACAATGGCCATTAAGGTAGAAAATCTAGTAATTACTAAATAAACATAGAATGTTTCTGTTTTGAATAAATTTAATATAGCATTTTGTGCCAAAGTTGTATACTTTTTTATTTTTTTTATCTGTGTTTCATAATTGGGTAACGTGGTCTGGCAATATTTGCCATCAGCAGCTAGCTCTCAATGTCAAATACGTAGGTTTGTCAATATAACCTCTTTATGTAGCCGGGTCGTCAAGAGGAATAACGGATAAAAAGGCTATCACAGCAGAGAACATTCACAATCACAGTACGCGGGAGCGGATGCGAATGTTTTTTTTTGTTTGTATTTTAAGATTGTCAAATTGACATTTGGTTTTTTATTTAGAAAAAGCAAAGAAATCATGGTTTTTACAATCACTTGAGTAATATTTTGAAGTAAAATTCTGTCCTTTGAAGATTTAGGGTTTCCATATCAAAAAATATTAATAATTATATAACTTCTTTCCACGATTCACTAAAAATAAGGCAAAAGTAGTTTTATGTAGCAAATAATTTTGGCATTATCTTGAGACCAAATTCAACTGTATACAAGTTTAGCATTTTTTCTATGAAAAGTGCCGGGTCTAATTTTCATTCATATTTTAACTTTTTTTTAGAAAATAATTCGTACAAGGAACTTAAAACCTTTACGTCTCAGACTACTGTACTCCCAGCCCGAACCAAAATCGAATTCGTAACGTTTGCGAGTCCGAAATGTCATTGTCAAATGTGTACTGATTTTTAGTTCTCGTTACGTACTTTGTGCCGCTGCTTCAAGTTTCCATACAAAATTTGACATTGACATTTCGGTTTGCAAACTATTCGAATTCGATAATGGTTCGTGCTAAGGGTACAGCTTTTCGAACACAGAGCCAAGCACAAATTTTGACAGCTCCGTAAACGTATCGTCATCGTACAATTTTATATGGAACTAGCTGACCCAGCGAACTTCGTACCGCCATAAAAAAATTTAATTAAAAAAACATTGTACAGCGGACAAAATTGTGAATCTAAACCATTCTCAGATCCCCTTGAACACACACAAAAAATTTCATCAAAATCGGTCCAGTCGTTTAAGAGAAGTTCAGTGACATACACACTCACAGAACAATTATATATATAAAGATATTGCAGGTTGTTATTTTACTTGCTTATTTTTCATAGAAATTTTGACAAGGCTACACGATCACGTAGCTGTCAAAATTCATGCTTGGGTCTCTGAGCTATTTGAGGATGAAAGAAAACAAACGATTTCTCTTATATTCATCACTTTGCTAAAACAGTCGCTTGAATCAAAATAAAGTTGGTGCCTATGAAAACTGTGTAGATCAACAATATTTTATTCGAAAGCAAAGTAAATTATTATTCATTGCAACAGTTTTAATCATATCTATTTCTTAGGTTTTCACGTACATCACTCATTAAAAAAAACAAGTTATTAAAAAAAAGTAAAAGTCTTTCGAAGGCAGCTCGACAAAGTTAATTAAATGTTAATTATTCTGACGAGGCATTCCTGCGAAGGACGCGGAACGTCAATAAATAAATAAATTCAGTGCATCTAACTTCTAACCCGTTGAAACTTGTTTTATTTAGTTTTAATCATATCAAATTATTTATCTGCCGAAATACTGTGAACTTCATTATATGCTAAGTCATTGATAGTTTTGTTAATCGAAAATATTTATATCTCGACAGTGCAAATGATAGGCGTGCAAATGTCAAGCGTCAATATCTTTCAATTCATTTAGTTTCTTCCACAGAAACTGTGGTTATTTCCTTTTTATAATATTGCAGTGATGTCAATAGAATATGTCAAAAAAAATTTTAGATTGCCGAAGTAGTATTTTTTTTAAAAAACTGTAACTGAACTGTCTGCAACAGTCTGGATTAAAATATTATATCAATAAAGTTGTATGTAAGTAATATAAAGAGCTCGATGGCGCCAGTGGTTAGCGCGTTCGGCTGCGGTCGTTGAAGTTGAGCAACTTTCGCAGTGGTCGGTCATTGGATGGGTGACCAAAAATTTACTATCTCCAGCTCCTCCGTGCTTCGGAAGGCACGTTAAGCCGTTGGTCCCGGTTTCATCTGCAGTCCTTAGCACCCACCAACCCGCACTGGGCCCGCGTGGTGGGTCATGGCCCAATCTCCCTAATCCATCCATAGGGAAGGCCTGCGCCCCAGCAGTGGGAACATTAATAGGCTGATGATGATGATGAATATAAATTATTTTCAAAATTGTTCTCCAGTTCATCGTCCTTGCGGTGTTCATCTCCTCCGCAAGAGCTGGTGCTGCTGGTGCTGTTGGAGCGGCAGGTGCAGTCAAAGGAGCTCATGGTAGACCTCTTGGTGGACCTCTTGGTGGACCTTTTGGTGGACCTCTTGGCGGAGCTGGTGGAATCGTCGGAGGCTCTGGCGTTGTCAATGCCGCTGACCATTCCAGTTTCTCGTACGGCGTCAAAGACCCTAACACGGGAGACGTAAAAGACCAACACGAGAGGCGTGTCGGCGACAGCGTAGTCGGCCAGTATACCCTCCTGGAAGCCGACGGGACCAAGCGCATAGTCGAATACTCAGCGAACCCCCAAACTGGGTTCAATGCTGTGGTCCGAAAAGAAGGCGTCGCTGTTCACCCTCCGTCTCCTGTACAACCTGGCAATCCCCTTGCTGGGTCTTTGGGATATGGAGCGCGTGCTTCGCCTTTGCCCTTTGCTGGACCACATGCATCTCCTGCTCTTGGAGCAGTGAACCCTTTGGCTTATGGAGCGCATGGCAACCCTCTTGCGTACCGTGCTCCAGTTAATCCGCTGGTGCATGGTACGGCACCGAATCCTTTGGCTTACGGAGGTTACGTAGACCCCTTGGCGTATGGAGGTTATGCTAACCCTTTGGGGTATGGTGCTCAAGCCAACCCTTTGAGCTATGGTCACGGTTTAGGCCTTAATGCTCTTCAAGGAGCATACGCTGGTTATAACCCAAATGGCGCTTATGGGTCTTCTTTGGCGCATAATGGTTGGGTTGGACCTCTTGGGAACCAGCTTGGACCTCAAGGAGTAGCTCCTGGCGCCCAACGTGGATGGTAGATAATTATCTGGTGTTCACTTTGATTCGACTTAATTAATATATTCAACGACTTTAACTATGTTATAATAAATTAATTTTGATTAAAGAGTCTTTGTTTTATTTGTCAACTTTGTCAAGGGCTGTATTTATTTGTTTTTTTTTTTTAATATTTTAACTACAAGTACAGGATAGAGGCCGAAACATACTTTTGAAACGCAACGCCACCCGAGTTAAGGGAAATAAAAAGCGTGTTGATTAAAATCAAATGTACTTTTTTCTATGATCACAATCACAGTAGGAACATGCAACGCGACCTGAGATTAAAACAAAAAGGGAAGATATGGCATTCGCGGCTCAAAAGTGATCCGCTTAAATTGTGGTCCACAACCATAATTCGCTTTAGTCACAATTTGACATTCAAACACGCTGCATGCACACTCAATATCATAAACAATGCCTTCGATGCTTTTATAAAGAACAAAAATATTTCAAAAACAAATGCCCCGGCAACGCTTTTCATTCGTAAAACTGTAAAAACTTTTTTTTCTCAAAAATCACGATTTGTCGTGAATATTATTTACGTAGTCGCCATTTTATAAGCAAGAAAAGGACAACAATAAACTGCGTTGAAACGTATAGTTCTATCTCGCTCGCTCGATTGATGTTTATATACAGACGTGTGGGTGGCAAGAGTTGCTTATGTAGTGGAGTCGGATCATATTTTATTTGATGCTAGTATGAGCGTACCGTATCTACCCTTTTTATTTTAATCTAAGGACGCGACGCGACGCGATGCGCAAACACTGATCATAGAAAATAAGCGTCGCGTGGCGTCGGGCTGCATCGCGTTTCTAAAGTCTTAATTTATCGAGCTCCTTTTAATTGCAGCACTGCATGTCTTATGTTTTGGGATATAAGGGTAATGGATAGAAATTCATATAGAAAAGCATATTTTGACGAAAACTACAAATAATAAAAAAAATATAAACAGCTATGCAGCAAATGCTCATTTCCATACAAAATCCATCACAGAAACTGTTCCCCTACCGGGAGATGAATATTCGAACCCAGGACCTCAGAGTAGGCGACACCTTGAAAACCGGCGTACGAAACACTCCACCAAAGAAGTCATCAATTAATCAATGTAATAAATATTTTTGCTAAATAAAAGCAAAAGCAGGCTTCTTTTTATTCTAAAAATCTTTCATTGACTTGGTTTCACAAAACCAATCAATAGAAATAGAACGCAAAAGACAACTACAAAGCCATATAAAATATTAACTCTAGTTTCTAATTGTTAAAACTGAAATAAATAGGCATTACTGTAGGTCACTGACATAAAAGCTTTAACTCTTCTGTATCATAGATGTATCAGATATAAGCACAACAGCTTTTCCGACAGCAGCTATTTCAAGCAATCAAAATCTAATACCAACAAAACAGTTGGGGCGGGAGTCAAGTTTCAAAATTTATTTCTAATAGTTTTTAGATATATTATATGACCAATATGTCAAATGGTTTTCATTTTAATTACTTTATTTTTATTTGTCAAACTTTATTGACTACAAAAATCTGTACACAAGCCGAACTTCATGCAATGAAGCATTCTCTCACAATCAATGTTTGGGAAAAATTATAGTACCTAAAATAAATGTCAAAGATGGGCTCTGAAATACTATTAATATTAAAAATAAAAAAATGGTTCGAGGCCCGTCTGCTGCCTGGTCCGCTGGAATTTTTTTCCTAGTAATATTTTTAGATTTGAGTTAGGAAAAAAATAAGAATAATATTTTAAAATGTATTTAATATGTACATCACTATAATTTGTCATAATAATTTATTTACACTGGTCTTTGATAATCTTGGTCAGTCAGTAAACTTGTTTAGTAGTATTTGGCGTATCCGAGGGGAGAGCCATGGATACCGTGAGCACCAAGTCCGGCGTAGGATACACCGTGAGCACCGAGTCCGGCGTAGGATACACCGTGAGCGAGGGGAGCGGCGTAGGCGGCTACTGGGGCAGCGGCGTAACCGCCGTGAGCGAGGGAGGTGGAGTACGCAGACACGGAGGAGACAGCGGGGGCGGCGTGCGCGGCGTACGCGGCGACGGGAGCGGCGTACGCGAGGGGAGCAGCGTGTGCGGCAACGGGAGCGGCGTATGCGACGGGGGCGGCGTGAGCGACGGGAGCGGCGTATGCGACGGGGGCGGCGTGAGCGACCAGGGCAGGGTCCTTGCGGACGATGGCGTTGAAGCCGGAGTGGGCGTCAGCGGCGTAGTCGACGGTGCGCTTTGAGCCATCAGATTCGAGCAAGGAGTACTGGCCCACCACGCTGTCTCCAACGCGGGTCTCGTGCTGGCTCTTGACGTCGCCGGTGTGCGGGTCCGACACGCCGTACGAGAAGCTGGTGTAGTCGGCGCCGTGCAGCGCGCTGCCGTGCGCGGCGGCCACCAGCATAGCGACAATCACGAACTGTAAAATATAAAAACAAAATAAAGTTAAATCTTTGTGACTGTTTTCTTAGGATTTTTTTTTCTTTCGTCGACTTTAACAATTTTTTATAAAATAGAAAAGTATTCATATTTTTGCAATAAAACCTATTTTTGTTGAGTTAACGATAACCGATAACAATAACTATTTTGTAACTTTGGTAATATAACCCTTTTTACCTTAGCTGCCATTTCGTAAGGTTTGGTTGAACAGTTAACTGCGAATGATATGCTCTGGAATGAGCCGATCCTTTAAATATGATCGTTAAAGCGTCATACCGTACCGCAGTAGGAAATAAGAGACGGTACTGACCGCTCTAGGTCACGCGGGGTGGGGTTTTTCATTCATTCAATTTCGCTCATTAACAGTACAATGTTGTTTTACCTGAGGGCATGTTGCTGTATAAACACATACCATTCTATTCCAAATGTTTTCTTATGTAATGTGTTCTTAGTTTTAATAACTAAATGATATTCTTAAATTGTACCCGTTAAATGGATGAGCAATAACAGTTTTATCGTCCTTCTAAGTGCTGAAACTTTGATTGGAGAGTTAAGTATTCTACTTTTAAAGAGTTTATTTATTTATCTTTAACAAAGTTTCTACAGTGGTTTTTGTGGAATTCAATACAATAAAATATAGATACAATCTTACGGCGTTATTATATGTCAGTAATTATTTAATTTTAAAACATTTTATAAATAAAGTTGATATATTTTTTAACCATAAAGACTAAGACTTTTTTAAAAGTGTTTGAATTATTTATTACTTTTTATTAATTACGTGTTACCTTAGTGAATTAGTTTTTTTTTGCTAAACAATTATTATACCACAGAGGTCTAGATTATCTACTTATTAGCTAAACAAATAAATCTAACCCGAACTCGATAAAATTGCTTCGTGCGAATTGTTATCAGATTGATTTAAGCATGCAAGTTTCAACTCAATCGGATACCGAATATACCTAGTGGGTCAGATTTCACTTGCGGGCTTAATTACCGTTAGTTCAATAAAACTTAATAAAATTTGTATTTTTTTAAGCACACATATTTGAAAGGATATCCTTATGGTCTAAACAAAACAAATGTCATAGCTGCTGATAGTGTATTAAGCTTCTGTAGCGCAATAATATGTTTTATTTACTCATGTTTGTTTCTTTCTGATGAGATTCTGACGAAACAGACCCGAAAAGGCTGCGAAACGTCAATAAATAAATAATGTTTCGTGCAGTAACCCGTTAAAAACTAGTTTTATTTATTTACTCATGTTGTGTTTAATGGAAATGACATTGATGTAAACTATAAAAAAATCATAAAAAAAATAATGGTAAGTAGTTAATTTTTTAAGCATTTAACTGTTAGATTATTAAATCTAGACTGGTTCGAGTCCCGTCTGCTGCGTGGACCGCATGGTGCCGCATGAATTTTTTCTAGTAAAAATTTCTTTAGATTTAATGGTAAGTAGTGATAAGCAGCAATCATTTATACAATATCATTATCTTATCTTTTTATCAATCTTTATTAACGTTCAACCTTTACGCACGCTTGACTTGGGAAGTAAGCGTATGAATACGTTACGCGTTACTAAAAGTGAGTTCGGGCGAGGCGAACGGGAGTTGAGTGGGATACCCTACCATAAGAAAGAGAAAGCAGTGCGCGCGCACATATTTTCTTTCTTTCTTTATAGCTAGTAAATGAAATATCCACATATATATATATATATATATATTTATTGTACACACACATATCTCTCTTAAAAATCCCTTCAGCGATGGCGTGTGAGGCGTTTCGTTACATTCCCTAAAAATGGTTGATCGAAGCGATGGCTGGTTCATGCGTCATGCTCGTGAACGGGTGTTACCAGCGGAGACGAGCCTGCTCTTGCTACATTGGGTACTATTAATCGTTGCACTTAACTTTAACAGTTCATTTTTTATGCCTAAACAGTAGGACACGGCATTCCTAAACATTTATAAACTTTGTTAAAGCAGTTTTTATATTTTTTATTTTATAGTCATACTTTTTATACTATTTACATTTGTAATGAAAAGTGACTTCATCAGTTACTTCTTATGGAAGTCATTTTTCAATTTGACGACTCTGTATATAAAACAGGGAGAAAAAAACAGCCCTTGCTGAGTTTCTTGCCGGTTCTTCTCAGTACAAGGTCTCCCGCCGTAGATTTGCGAGCCGATGGCGTAGCTTTTCGACATTCACAAGTGCTTGTAACAGCCAAGACTGAATAAACAATATTGATTTTGATTTTGGAGTCTTGAATTGGATTTGATGCTTCTCAGTCTTTTCATCATCATAGTCATCAGCCTATTAGTGTCCCCACTGCTGGGACACAGGCCTTCCCTATGGATAGAATAGGGATATTGGGCCACCACGCGGGCCTATAGTGCGATTTGGCGGGTGCTGACGACTGCAGATGCTGCCGGGACCAACGGCTAAACATGCCTTCCGAAGCACGGAGGAACTCGAGATAGAAGATTTTCGTCACCCATCCAATGACCGACCACTGCGAAAGTTGCTTACCTTCAACGATCGCAGCCGAACGCGCTAACCACCCGCGCCATCGAACTCCTCCTCCTCTCAGTATTTCTGGGGGTTAAAAGT